TATATATGTATGTATGTATGCATATATATATATGTATATATATATGTGTGTGTGTGTATAACTATATAATCATATACATAAATATATATATATATATTTGGACATATATACATTTATAATGTATATATATATATTTCTATTTGTATTTGTATAAAAGTACATATTTATATGTTTTATTATATATATATATATATATACATAAAAAAATACATATATATGTATTTAAGTGTGTATATATATATGTAGATACATGTATACATACGTAAATATATATATTTATATATATATATGTGTGTGTATGTATGCATGTGCATATGTATTTATATTTACATATATATATATGTGTGTGTATGTATGCATGTGCATATGTATTTATATTTACATATATATATATGTGTGTGTGTGTATGTATATGTATGTGTGTATATATGCATGTATGTATACTTTATTTATATTTATATTTATATATATAATGAATAAATGTTTAATATATATATATATATTCGTATCTGTTTCTGTGTCTATATATATCTGTATACTTATACATATATGTGTGGATAAATTTATATATATATATATGTGTGTGTGTGTGTGTATGTATACGTATATATATATATATATATGTTTGTGTGTTAGTGTGTGTATATATATAAATATATATATATATATATTAATTTATTTATTTATATATATATATATATATACATTTATATGGATAGATAAATATACATTTATATGGATATATATATATATTTGTGTGTGTGTGTGTGTATTTATAATACTTGCATGTAATCCTGAAAATGCACCCTGAAAATATTTTGCAACGATTCAAATATTATTCATAACATGAGCAAGCACCTATTCAAGTATTGATACACGTCTATCAGTCGCTAACGAATGTCATCTATGTTGATGTTCCATGAAATTCATTTCAATGGTGTGTACGATGGATTCTGAAATTTGCTTCTAAGTATTCACAGGTGCCGTTTATATTATACACGCGTTTGTGCACCAAAAAGCTCGATTCTAGGTTTGGCGAAGGTGTGTAATTACTAATTGCCTAATTCCCCTCGGTGATCAGAATTAAGTTTTACTCACAGTGAGCATCTCTATAGAAGTTCCTGATTGGTATGTTTTATCTTCAACGTTTTAATTGGATTAAGAGCCATACAGACAGAATTCCTTGATAAAAGTAAAGAGACAGTCCATACATAGTCAAACATACATAGGCACCATATGTAAATTTGTAAAAAAAAGTTAAAAACTGTTTTATTAAAAAGACTCGGAAGACTCAACCTGAAACGACAAAGACGCAGAGTCCAAAGTCCAAAACAGAGGCTCTGCACAATATTGGACACAAATAATTAAATATGTGTCCTATGTACGGTCACGGACTTTAGTCCGCTGTGGTATATTTTTAATCTCTCTAGTAGAGAGAGGGTCATGAATATGTCGTATATTAACTCCGATCGAACAAATAAAAATCACATGAAGGCTATGGTTATTTGAATAGTTCGAGAAGGCTGCTATGTATTTCGTAAACATACATAATAACTGTATTTGAATCGACAACATGGCGTTGACAATCACTATAGAAATATTTGTGTACTGTTGCTTCTGTTCCATCTTCATCCTCACAATACCCATATTCTTCTGGCGGAGACGATATACATTGATCTCGGAGCGCACACCGTATTTGGTATTGTGGATGCAGGTGCCTGTGTTTGGGCTCATGACTATTCTGTGTCTGTTATACAGTGCATTGATCCCCAACTCCTATGATGTCACCATCTTGGCGCGATGTCTACAAACACTGTTCTTGTGCTCGGTCACTACACGCATAGTCAATGTCGTCATCAAATCAATCCAACAGCAACACATACAAAGTATCATACGTAATCAGATGCCGCTACTTGGCGCACCTAGTGACACGAAGAATCCAGACAGTGGCAGGAGCGGCACAGTGCAGTATATGTGGTGGCAGTCAGCACATCTTATTAAACTTGGAAGGTATCATAAAATCAAGCATACTTTCACAATCTATGCGCTGGTATGTGTGGCTTGGTTCATAGCCCTGACCGACGCAACACTTAATGAGTCTCTGTTCTGGTACAGAGTGTCCATTGGCTTCACACAAATCAGCATAGTTTTGTTGATGTTCCCCCTTGTAGTATTGGATGTATTCTTCATGACCATTGAGATTGATACAACAACTTTTATTCTATTGGGCGATACTATAGATCTCTAGGCCTGTCGATTTGTGCCCCCGAACCCTCGCAAGTGCTGGAAGCAGGCACGTGTTCACACTATACCTACGGCTGCTTGTTCTTTGTACATGTGCTGTCCATCTTGGTGCCTGCGCTGTTAACATTCATTCCCGTCATGCGCACTCAGCGAGTGCTTCCGCTGTCGAATGCGGAACAGGTTAAAGAGGGCGCCGGCGACAACGACGACTCGAGTGCTTTTGGACTGAAATGCTCGGCTGCTTTGGACAGCCACACACCACTAGACACGGACATTGGCGTAATTGACGCAGAGAGAACTGCGCAAAACAACGATACTTCGTATTTTCCAGTTGAACAACCGTTACAAATGACTATGGTTCTGGCAAATAGATCTCTGGCGAGCATGTTTTACAAGCATCTTAGTCGTGAGTATGCGACCGAGAACTTCCTATTTTTGCTGTCCATCAACAAATTCCGATCTCGTTTCAATATGGAAATGTGTATACCAAACAGTACCACGGGCAAGACCTCTACTACACAGAACACTGGATCTAATCTGAGGCGGGTGTCTGTCGGTTCCAATACGATAGTTTCTGAGATGATTGAGCAAGTATTTGTGGACACCTCATCGGAGCAGGGCGCAGTCAAACACAAGAGTAGCGAGGGCAAGATCAAAAATAGTTTCAGCACCGGGATTGAGAACCTAGCTGGGGTACAAGGACTTACACTGCAAAAGGTGTCAGAAAATGTGTCCTCAGGAGACACACAATCAGATATGAGTACAAGTGATGCACAGTGTTCGGGCGATACAGCCCAGGTTGACACAAGTGGTGTACAGTGCCAGAGCGTTATAAGTAAGGTTGCCAATCGCATTTACCAGCGTTTTATCCGAACGTCGGCTGAGTTCCAGGTCAATCTGTCTTATGAGTATGTGGCCAATATTGAATGGTTGCTGGAGTCCGACGACTGCTTCGCGACAATGTTCGATGAAGCGGCATGCAGTGTGACCAATTTATTGGACAATGACACAATATCCCGGTTCAAGAAACTTCATAGCAAGGCCATTTACAAGGCACTGCGGATGATTGGCTCTATGGGAGGCAGCACAGTATAGCCCACTTATAGATGCAGGTACCGATGACAGGAAGAAGAAATCGAGGAGACCTTGTCGAAATCTCACTGTCGACCTCAGGTATGCAGATAGTATGGCAACTTAAGTTCGGGGCAATCTGTGGCACATGGTTTATCTATAACGGGTCACCAAGTCATAAATGACACCGAATTTAATTGTCGTTGTGTGAGCCGCCGTATTGTCTACACTAAAAAGTGTATAGTGTATCAGTAAACACATGCAGAAGACTTGGACATACACTTCAAAATTTTAAAAATAACACGATACACACTTGCACAATATTTAAATAATAGCATATAATGAATAAACAAACTTTTTAATAGCATATAGTGAATAAACAAATTTTAGAATAGCATATAGTGAATAAACAAACTTTATAATAGCATATAGTGAATAAACAGATGAATACACCAACATGAGCATAGGTCCAGCACAAGCAGATCAACGATATAATACCCACTGCAGTATACTACATTACTTTTTGATAGCGGATTGAGGCGAGAGATATCATTGTATGGGATGCGTAGGTGGAGCTATGTCCAACAACAGATGGGATCTAGAAATATAATTAGAGGCCGATGAGATATACCTGAATAAACTATGCTTAGAACTTTAAGATTTCCTTACAGATCGATTGCCGTGAGAACGAAAAAGGTGATGAGGACTATGCTAGTTGGTATACCGATAGGAAGAATTGCACCAGCTGATTTGGTGGGTAGTTCATGGATTCGCGAGTTTATATCGCCAACCAATATCAGTCGAATCGTTACCGAAACTTGCATCGTGCAATGTATTCCAAGCTCCCGGGTAGCCGTGCTGCTGATATTCTTCACTCTTAAATCTTAAAACACCTTGATACTCGGAGACCTGTTGCCTGGAGGAGACGCCTTATGAATTTTCAGATGTTCTAGCGCCGCAGGAGGCTTACCAATGTGCCTGCAACTAATGCATGTCATTATGCCCCAATTCTCCGTACGATGACATTCCCCTCTGGTCGGCTTCCCGTCACATTTTGTGTCTAATTTTTAGATCGCCACGGAACTTATCAATGAAATCAAAGGCAATATTCAGTCATTAAACTCATTTGTTTTACATACCCCCAATAAATAAACAAGGTACTGACATGCGCGTCCTAAACAGTAAATAGAGCTGCTTTTTTTGATAAAAATAATATTCATACATAGCCTTGATATTCCTCGAAATGCCTATGTCACCTCTCACCTGTGTGCCCGTCTATTAAAGAGAGAGGAAGGCTATGTATGACTATAATCTGTTAACTTTCGTTTGTAGCGTTCACCTGGTCCGCTCAGTATTTCTCATAGAATCCTCCATTTATGTATGATTGCCCAAAACTCCAAGTTGTGAACCGCTGTCTGATAGCAGCAATGTGATATGAAGACGCATCTGCACACAGAAATGTTCCTCAGGGCTTATTGATAAACAGTTAGTCACTTTCCATTTCGAATGTGATTATGGTGGGCAATCGAGTCAGTAAGCAGTCCCCATATACGCCATCGAGACAAAAAATCAATCCCTATGCCAGGCATGCACTTAAGAAGAAAGCAGGAGAGCCCGTTGAATCTGAGAGTCTTGGTTCGCCCACTCGTAGCTCAGTGCACAAATTGTTTGGTGCCAACAGTCCCGCTGCTTGCATATTTAAAACTCCAGTAAAAACTGATAGTCGAGTTAAAGTTGCGCACTCGAGTCTTACGCCTTCCCGTATCGAGTCGGTGAAGAAAAGCCCAGCTGCGCTTGGATTCATAAGCAATGACAGAGGATCAGTGCGATCTAATTTATTTGGCAACTGTGGATCCAAATTTAGTAGTAAGGGTTCGGAGTTTAGTCTGACCGGCAATGTAGTAGTAAATTCTTCCACTCTCGCAACAACCCCTGCGACAGCAAACGACGATGACTGGAATGAGTACGATGATGTAGTCCCAGCAGACAGTCCCTTTGTGCCATACTATCTGCGCAACTTTCTTTACGTTTTGCAGGTATGCTATACTAGACTATATGTGATTCGGGTCGGATACATGTATGGGTATGTGTTCTATCGAACTGTTGTGCTATAAAGGTAACACTTGTTATACATCTATTAGGTGTGATTGGCAACATCGAATGATGTCTTTAGTAAAGAAAATATGCATCCCTATTCTTGCGTATCATGATATGTCGATCTATAGATAGATATGTATAACTATACATACAGTAATACCCATATATATATATATATATATATATATATATTATATATATATGATTATGTATGTATGTAGTATGTTAAGTAGGTATA